TTAATATTTACTATTAACAAATAAATTTGGTCCAAAAAATTAATCAATCAATCGATCATTTGACCAAATCCCAAGCCGTAGCCGAGCGAGCGACGACGACGACGACGACGGCGCGAGGCTTGCTTTCTTCTTAACTCTTTAAGAGCTACAAGAAGAGCAATTTTATATATACCCACCAAAAATCTTTTCCTCTTCCAATATGGGACAATGTCTCATTGTCAAGAGGGGGAAACTTAAAATTTTACTCAAAATTTCATTTTCCCTCCATTTCCCATTCACCCTCATTTTAAGACTATTTCATCTTAAAAACAAAACCTCAACGGAAAACAGATAGGCTTTACTCTCTGTAGGTTCCAACTTGTCTAGTGGAAGAGACACGTGATGTCAATATTGGGGTTTTAGGCTGTGTGAATCCAACTCTACCCAATCCCGATAGTGTGGGAGCCTCGTGAACTATCAACAGTTCCACCTAAGAATCAATTAGATAAACCTGGCTAAACTTCCTCAGAAAAGCACGATGTCTTCGGTGAAACTAGAGCTATGAAACATGTCTTAATCATTAGATATAGAATACATGCATAATGCATACATTTGACAATGCTTCATCCATATTGCTTAGTTATGCAAAATCCTTTTATGAGTTCATCGAGATGCTACTTTTTGTGGTATTACAAGAGTGCTTTTTTAGATCAGGCTAGTCTCTGGTTTTCCCAAAAGGAAGCGCTCTCTACATTTTGTTTTTCTTCCAATAGGGGCACTGATGGCTACGTTGGTAGTTGTGATACTTTTTGCTAATATGGTCCAGTTTGGAATCACTGTGAACCTATCTATGTGTTTTCGGAGGTTAACAACTCAACTATACCTCCTTGGGAAGAAGAGTTTATTTTGATTTGTCTTGATTGTTCAATTGATCACTTCTTATCAGGTAGGTATATTGGGAAATGCTGCTGACTTTAATGAGGCTGATACTGTGGATGGCACATCATATGACAATATGGATAGGAGGAGAATGATGATTGCATTTGACATGAGGTATGACATGCATGCTTAAATATTTATGTTTTTTGTTTAGCGTGAAGCAAGTTATTTATGATTTTCTATCTGCTTTTACCTGTTGCAAAGATGTGTTGGATTCATCATGGCAAAAATGGTTTTGAGGGAACTCATGGACCCAACGACATTTGCCAAGTTCAAAGCATTCCTCACCAAGGTTGTACACTGTTTTTGGATGTTCTGCAAAATACATGCTTTCACATGCAATAACTTAATTCATGCCATCTTCAGGGAAATGATTCCTCCTGTTTGCGAGAGTTTCTTCTGCATGATGTAAAAAGAAATTCTTCAGCTGGAAATTTTGGTATACAAGTTAGTACCTTATCCCTTGTTTATGTTTGACTCTTCCATTGTCGTTTGCTGAAAGTCAAGAGAATTAATATAGTGATAAATCAATTATGACTAATGAATTCTTTTGTAGACCATGTTTTTATTAACTTCATCTATTTCTTTCCATGAACATAACTATGAAAGTTCTTTTATGCTAGTCAACTACCCAGTAGTGTCACTTATCACATTTCTCAAAAGGGCGGCAAATGGACGGTTATGAAGATAAAGTGGTTTACTTAATAAATGAGTCATGACTCAGCTCGTGCAAAACTTTCTTAAGTCAAGATGGACTAGTAAGGGGGTTATTGCCCAATAAGATGGAATATAACGTTGTTTGCTGTAAATCAAGAGAATTCATAGAGTTATAACTTATAAATCAGGAGATATATTATTTTCTCTTCCAATTATCCGAGGACTCTAATGAGGTGGTTTTGTTCCTGCTAGATTCAAAAATTGAGTTATGATAGAGTGGATTCAGAGATATTAGAGATGAAGGTGGATGTACATAATATTAATTTTTATCACATATTTCATCGTGCTACGACGAAGCATGAAGATTGTGACACATGGTAAAACATTTACAATGTGTAGCCTTATTTAGGTAATTTACTTGTTAAAGGTGGACGTAATTCATGTTATTTAGGTAATTTTCCTTATTTAATAACTTTTCTTATTTCATGTAGTTTAATCTCCTCTAATTTCAATTCAAAACTTAGTTCTCTCTCCTATTGCTCCACACTGTTTACTTTCCATTTTAGGTAATATAGTAATATTTGTTCTTCTTTCAGATACTTGATAGAAACTGGGGTGCAGGTTGGCATTTGCTCTCATTACTCCTTGCACCTAAACCTTTGGACAGGATAAGGTAAACTCAATCATTATGGTTGATGATGCCTTTTGGAAACTGCATACATGCATCAGATATTAGTTTTTCTTACAAGCTATGCAGGATTAATGAAAACCAGCTTATTAGATAGCTTATAGCCTAGAGGCTAGAGGAAATTTTCTAGAAGATGAGTTAATTGGTTAACGGAATTTGGAACTCTTCTGATGGCTTTCTGTAGGAGCCCTAGCAACTTAAGTATTTGAAAGGCTTTTGGAGAAACATGTATCATTTTATCAGATCTTCCAAAAATTATTTTGGGAAGTGATCAAGGGGAAGCAGATTTTAATGTTGATGAGCTTCTAGGTAAAGGAGCGAGCTTCTGATCTCTAATCCAGTTGTTTATAAGAATCTTTAGATTAAATTAAAAGCAAGACCCATGTGCCTAGCATTCAATGAAGTGGGTGAAAAATCTTGGAGACCACGGTTCAATTCCCACAAAGACAAAAAAATGCTAGGTGATTTCCTCCCATCCACCTAAGTTTGGGTGGTGGGCAGAGTTACCCGATACATGTACTGGTGAGAGATAGCAGGTACCTAGTGCAATAATTGAGGTGCGAAGCAAGATAGCACGGGCACCATCATTTAAAAGAAAAATTAAAAGCAAGACAGATAAATTACATGTACATTATTTTAGATACTTCACGGACTGAGCTTTCATAGTGCTGATTGTTGTTACTCAAACAGCATGTGTAAATTAAATCGGTCTCATAGATAATCAAGTCAAAGATGACAATGTATAATTACATCATAATTAATGAAGATCTCCACTAATATTTCACAGTTGCTTAAATGCTCTGAGGCATCCCTTCTTGTGTGGACCAAAATGGCGTGTAAACCCATCTATTGAGGTAATCAGATGGAGTCTTGGCTCAACTACTGTTCGAATTGCAGAGGAGTACATTTATGGGCAGCAGCAGGTAATAACTGTTGGCTGATCATGAAAAGTATTTCTTCTTTTTCAGTGGTTAAATGGTTGATTTGATACTACGAAGTGTTTGAGTATTTCATGTTTCCTATTTCCCCCTCCTAGTTTCCCAACAGTACATTTGATAAACAAACCTCCTTATTTTAGCTGGAAGTCTGAATGTGCGTCACTGCTTTTGTCTGTTGTTAAGCTTGCTTGCTTCTTAAGTATTAGTTCTTATTACTCCAGAAATCTATGGTGGCACAAATAGCTTGCCTCCCCATTTATTTTCAATTTCGAACTTTTCCTTTTCAGAACGGTTGGTTCATCTGATTTTCTTTTCTTGTTTTCCTTCCTCTTTGGCCGAGTATATTTATATATGCTTCTTATGTTTTCACTCGGAGTTTATAATTATCTTTTTATCTCAATATATTGTCATTGTTTGTCTTTCTACTCAAGTTGGCCCCTTTCTTTAGAATTTTTGTTTTACCTTATTTTTTAAAAATGCAGAAATAATAGTAGCAGTGTACTTAAATGCATACTAATCTAAGATCCGGTGTTCGTCATCGCGAAAACCACTAAATAAAGAAAAGTATCTTCCTAAAAATATATTAAGAGAGCACCCAATTTGGATAGGGTAAGTAGATCTATAACTTTGCTTGACTATCTGCACTTTAGTCCTTAATGAAAATATGGGTCATAATTCATAGACACCAATTGCTTTTTTAATCTGGATAAAGGGACACCCTTACGTGAGACTTTAAAAAGGGACGTATGGTGTTTATCCCAAAAAGGGGTAAAATGGAAGCAACATATTCTTCTACAAAAAATAAAGACTGTCATGACTTACTAGGATGTGTCCTCCCTCAAATTCTTTCTTCAAGTATTATCAAATAATAATTCTACTCAGCTCTTTAAACAGATGAGTTTAATTCTATTTAGCTCATCGCTACTGTATTTTTTTCATTAATTGTCTGCACCTTGCTGAAATCTGTTAGCAGGATCAGAAAGTAAAAGAGTTGCTAATATATTATTTCTCTTCTGTTTTTTCCAGCGGAGTAGGCTTGCTCATTTCATTGAATTAATGGAGATGCTAAATCCTTATCCAAAACCAAAGGTGAAGAATCTCTCTTCTTTTATTATGAGTTATTTTTTTAATTCTCTTTGGTTGGTGAAGAGCGTCTCTCATCATCTGCTTCTCATTTATAGCACTTTGACAATATTTATTTTACAGTCTCTCCCCTAAAGATTCACAGTATTTCACACATTGTGCATTTCATGCTTGTCTACAATGTTTATTTTACAGTTTCAAGCTTTGTTTATTATATTATATATGCAGTACTCTGTCTTTGTATATTTGTTGCACTGCGTTTGTTGTTATTTAGGGTAAGTAGTGATGCATGCTTGCATTTTTTTCAATTGGGAGGAATTGCCTCAAATGATACATTATGCCTTGAGCAATGTGCTCACCATTTGCAACTGAACGAGTATCTACTGATCTGCAGCATTGGCTGGGATCGTTTCCTGGAAAGTGGCGTCTGTTATACTGTACTGGTAGACATATAGGATTGACCCTTAGACAGCCTTCTGTTAGAGTACTCATTGGGGAAGTGTACCTAACAATATCTAAAGCATCAACACCTAAAACAACATTTTCAGCTGCCTCACATATAAGCTTCACTGTTATGGCTGGTGGGGATTGGCCTCATGACAAGTCTGGTGTAGGTGGAAAGTTGCAAGTGAATACCTATTTCAGATTGAGAGCTGGGAGACGGTTATATCTTAAGGAAGAAACTGACACCTCGAAGTTTCCCTCTGCTACACCAGATGCTCAAGCTTCTGCAGTGAAAAGGTTATCTAGTAAAAAGTGGAGGAAAGCCATCCCCGTAAATGAATTTCCTTCAAGCCTTTCTGTAGCTAAACTTGTGTCCACTGAAACTGAGGTAACAATGAGTCTGGATAAACCACTGAGTGGTAACATTGAAGTGGCACAGAAAGCACTTCAAGAGGTACGCACTCAAATACCTCCAGAAATGTTTGATCTGTCAAAAATCGTTTGTGGAACATATTTGGATTCAAGATTGCTTGTCCTGCGAAGTGTAAATGGATCTGCACTCGTTTTAACAAGATGTACAAATGATAGTTGATTGTAGTTAAAAAAAAAACTTTGTTGATTCACTTTTTGTAAATAGAATCATATTTTTATCTTTCCGTATTTGGTCAGAGGGAGCAAAAGATTGGTAGAAGAATAGAAAGCTTAATTCGTGTATTTAAGGTCACAGAGATTCTTTTTTACCATGTTACCAATTTTCCAGCAAAATATATATATGTTCATCACATTGCAGAAGGGAAATGCTGCGCCCCTGGGCACTCAGAGGAAAATTTTGCGCATCAACTAATCCCAAACTAGTTAAAACCAATCGAATTCATTAATTATAACTATTCCGCTGCATCTAAGTTCATTTCATTTTAACAGGAAATAAGTTACCTTTTTAAAACACATTGAAGTTCTAGTATTTTTTAGAAATGTAAAATTCATCTCTACAGTAGTCCTTAACCAGGCAACAAATACTCGTTACAAGCACTTGTGATCCCAAAAAAGTTGCAGTCACGCTTATGGAAATTTCAGTAAACATATGAGACTACGTATAGAATTTGGCAGAGAACTTGAAAGAACTCGGCAATCAAGATGCACCAGCATGCATTAATTTACCGTACAATTGTATGGCACTAAAGAGAAGATAATAGCAATGCAGTCAGAGAAATATTTGGCTATCTTCGTCGGAACCCCAGACGGCCTGTGAAAACATCACGACCAAACACCACGACTCTGTTCTGAAAATAAATGTAATCTAGTAATAACATTAGCCTATCTAAAGACATCCTCGCTAATATAAATACATTTCATACATTTCAAATAGAGGCTTCTGTCTCTTGTCCCTCTCCCTCTTAGTGAATTCTAACATTCAAATTGCACTTTTGAGGGGCAGGTGGATACACCAACAATCGCTTGCTCAACCAAAATCAAGAAATCCGGTCTGTCCAATATCTAGGATAAAGAAAATGCATAAGCAAAAGGAGCAGAAACATTTCCACAATTCCACCCAGGTGAACTAAAACCAATAAAACAACATACCACCAAAGTGATTGAAAAGCTCTACAGAAACAAATCTAGATCAATCCATGGCGTTGTAGATCCGTATATGCCTTTTTATTGTAGATGTTGCCCTCTTGATCTTCATATTCCTCTTCAAGATCTGGGCGCCACTTATTCAGCCCTTGTTTTTCTTGGATTCTTTCCCAAAGCTGCTTGGCTTCCTGTGACACAACAAAAAATATGCATCAGAAGCTGCAGTAACAAAGGAAAAAGGAACAGCTAGCTGCATGCAACCAGGATTAAAATTATGCCAAAACAAAAGCTAGAAGCTGTTATACTAATTTGATTTGCATCCGTGGATCTAAGTACTAATATAACCAAGACGGGTAAAAAATAAGCTAAGACATGATGTAAGAGGGAAAAGAGGAAAAGAGAGCAGGGCTCTTCAAAGCTTAGTTGGCAGAAGCAGAAAATTCCATCCACTGAATTACCAAACTCCAGCTGCACTCTGTATCCTAACTATATTTATAGGAAGAACGGCAGCAAGAATGACGCCCCGAAGAAACACATCATTGTCTGCCCAGACATGTAAAGAGGTTCATAAGGTTATTAAACTACTGAATCACAATTTTAATCATTAATTCATGACGGATCAACAGCCGTATGTTAAAAAATACCAAAATTACAACTCGAGCTACATGCTAGGGGTCTGGCTCTTTGAAATCAGGCGTGGCATGGTCATGGCAAGGATTTGGCATGATGGCCTTGTCATTTGCCTATGTGCAGTTATTGCTTCCTAAGAAGCTCATAACTCTGTGAGGAGCAATCAAAAACCATCTGGAAGATTGCAAGCCTAAAAGAAATGGCCAAACAAAAAAGACAACACACGCCTAGTGATGAAGGGGGAAAAAATCAAGATGGGCCAAGTTGACCCTGCAAAATGACCTACTGTTTGAGTAGAATGTTAATAATGGACTTCTATCCAGATAGCTTAGAAATCAAATATCTAGCAAACTCATTTATACATAGTGATCACCATTCATCATGTTGATGATGGCTCCTTCACCATTCATTTTTCTCTCTCGTTTGTGTGGAGGGCGCGAGGCTTGCTCTAATCTCACGTTGTCATGAACCCGCCTAACTTCAACCTCAAAAGCTAGCTCATGAGGTAAAGGGTTGCGGACTGCTTATACGCTGCCCAAGCCTCCCTTTTGTCCAATGTGGGACAGGGTGTTATAATAAGCTGTGCTGACAAAGGCACAAAGCAAGTATAAAACTGTACACAGAGACATGGAAAATGGCTTGTGTCATCTATGTTATCAAAAGGCATATTGCTTTCTATGGAGCTGATAGATCTATGCGAGAAGTAATCAAAAAGCCTCTGGAACAATGCGAGCCTAAAAAACGGCCAAACAGAAAAGAAAACATATGCCGAGCAGCGAAGAGGTGCAAATCAAGACGGGCCAGAACAGTGAAGTTTACCACCCAAATGACATACTGTAAGTGTAGAATGCTAACAATGGATTTCTATACAGATAATTTAGGAACTGAATATCTATCTAACTCACTTATACATTAGTGATCACCATTCGTCATATTGATGATAGCTCCTTCCAGGCCATTCTGCCTTTCATCAGCATTATCATTGAAACCTTTCTGCAAAATATGAGGGTTGGTTAGTGTATTAGAACCAAAGACTAAACAAGCAGGGAAAAGAGCAGGAGGGATACTAAGGAAAAAGCTACTCTGTGAATCGCAAAAATTCACCAGTTCCAAGGTTTCAATTGCATAATTATCTCTTTTAAGCTATTATGCTTTTATCAAGGATATCCGCATCTATAAACTTCTTAGCACAGATTGTCTTAACTAGAGGTTCTTTCATGTTCTGACATATGTGCTAGAGAGCTCTATACACATCGGTTGAGCATTCTTGCAAAGAGCTTTTGGGTTCCAATTTTCTGCATTGATTTGAAATTAAAACACTAACTGCATAAAGACCACAGATATCTTCAACTTATCTGGTCAAAATGACTGACCTCAGTTTCAACCATGCCTCTTCTATTTGGGCTCTAAACTAAATGGTACCAAGTATCCATTTTGACACACATTACATATTTAACACCTGCAGCTAAAAACTTTTCAACAACTCGGGACCAGGAGTCAAGTAGATTGCTAAGTCAAAGTTGTACTTCCCAATAACTACACAGTATCTCACAAAATATTCTTAGCAGTGGCATCAAATTTAGCAAGTTATCTATACCCATTGGAAGCAAACAGAAAGTCCCGATTAAAAATGTCATGCTTAATGTGAATTCTCAGAACTAGGACAAGTTAAATCATTCCTTTGTGTGCCATAAAGACGAAGGGGAGAGTCGGAAAGACAAGAAATAAGAGTATTCCCTTCACTAGAGATTCAAAGACTCCAATACTAGGGGTTGAAAAGGTCCTTCACATTGAAACAACTACAAAGCAGATATAGGAACTAGATAACAAAGAAACTTGACCACAAAGCTTTTCTACAAGTGTGATGAATATACCTTTTTATTTAGACCATGAGCAGTCATAAGTTCATAGAACTTGCGCATCAGCATTTCTTCCTCAACCTACAAGCAGTCGACATGCCAAATTGATACATTAAATTGAAATGCAATGGAAAAATGGAAAGGAAATGAAAAGAAACAGCTAATAAGAAGGGCTTTGCTCTCACAGAAGCCAGAATATCAATACGACTTTCGAAATTATTGATGTGGCATATAAAACAACGAATGAGCCGAAAGCAGTGGTGCACGTAACTAGATTGAATGTGCCCCTAACCCAGGGCACTGCTATTAAGGGTTGAGTCTCTCCCTTCCCTTTCCTCCCCCAACCCAACTCCCACCACCTGAAAAAATATATCGTTTGAAAAATGTTTACGTGACTGCAGAAAGTTCATAACACATAACATCTGCACTACTATTCAACTACAAGTGTACATTACATTTTTTTTTCTTTCTTTATGATTTTCATATATCCATTGCTAGTATTTTTATCGTGCTCTTTCATTTTATGGCCATCCCAAAATAATGTCCTCTAATACATATTACTATATACACAAAGTAATAACAGGTCAAACCGATGTATCTGAAGATGCTTGGAGAGTACACAAAGGTTACTTGGAGAAGATTAATATGCAACGATCCAGGATCCCCTAAATGGCTGTTCATAGCGAATATGGTGGCTCATGGAAGGTTATATACAAAGGATCGACTAGCTCACTCGGGAATTGTGGTGGATCAGACATGACCTTTATGTCAGGTAGAATTGGAAAGTACTGAACATCTATTCTTCAGATGTTTTTGTATCTGCTTCTATTTGGGGAAAGCTACTGGAATGGCAAGGTATATCAAGGAATGCTATGGAGTGGACTGAAGAAATGCAATGGCTTGAAAGTAGTTGCAGAGAGAAGCGGGCAGCAGCCACCATATATAGAACAACCTTGGCAGCAACTGTGTATTTCATTTGGCAAGAAAGGAATATGGTGGTGTTTCAGAGCAAGAGAAGACAACCTGCAGAAATTATCAAGATGATCATTCAAGAGATCTTTGTGAGAGGCAGCATGTGCAGGAAGCTTAACAGTACATTAAATACAATGAACTTTTATCCTGCTTTGTAAGGATTGTAGGCTATTTGACATGATGAACTGAGTAGTGTTGGAGTGCAAAACTGTGGTAGTCCAGTTTGCTATTTTCTTTTATTCTTGAGCTGTAATTTTCTCAGTTGGTAGTAAAATTGCTTATGTACCCAAAAAAAAAGAAGGTCCAATTTTATTGTCAGCGCCACATGTTTTGTCAATCTATATTAAGCTCTCAATACGTGTGCAAAACCAAACCAAGATATCAAAGTAGGATAAACAAAATAATATTTTGTCCATCCATTTTTACATTTCGAAGTAGTCTAGGATGTTTAGCTAGAGTCTCAATATCTTAGCAACTTTACCTGGAAATACTTGAGAGATTCTCGCCTCAGGGCTTTGATAAAGTGGTAAGAGCACAACCCGTGATGTTTGATGTTTTTGTTAGGCGCATGTCACAGGCTACAGAAAAAAACAGAGGCGAATTCAGGATTTAAGCTCTATGAGGTCCAACCTTTAAGTTTTTTAGCCTTGAACCCATTATAATTTTAAAACTATGGGTTCATATCAGCCATTTATTGCACCTTT